AATTATCAGTCTCATGTCATAATTTATATGGTAAATTATAAATATACTTTTTTAGATTTGCTTAAAGTATTGATTATCTTTTGTGATTTGAAAAATTATAAATACTTATTCGTCAAAATTTTTTATTTAACAAAATTCATTAAAAAAATAAAATTCATAATTGGTCTCTTATACAATAATAAAACTACTTAAATTATTAATTGAAACATGTTTTTAATATCATTAAAAATTATTAATTGACTTGATAATTTATTAATAAAAGAAACGATTTGTTATGAAATTAAAAACTTTCGGAGATGAAATGTAATTTGCAAAACCAAAAAAAATATATTTTAATCAAATTTCAATGATGTATTTATAATTTATTAATTTATAAGCCAATGATGTCACAGTAGGGTAAGGGTATCAAATGGGAAATCAAGATCCCCTCCTTACATTTCCTACTTGCAAGGCTATTGGGCTCACTTTTAAACTCAATTTTGATAATTCGAACCTTTCATATTTTAACATTTGTTCATTATATCATACCTGTAAAAAAATTAAGTTGATCGGATAACAGAAAGTATGTGTTGGAAAACCGTTTATTAAATTCTTTAAAAAAATAGTTTTTAGTTCGAGTTTTACGAACACAAACTTTCTGATATCCGATCAACTTGATTTTTTGCAAGTATAATATATTGAATAAAATTTAAAATATGAACAGTTCAGATTATCAAAATTGGGCCTAAAAGTAGGCCTAATAACCTTGCAAGTAATAAATATAAGGAGGGGATCCTGATTCATCAAATGGGTGCAGGCCATAGACATGCAAACACATGCTCAACAACACATTACATGTATACATACCTATGAAGTTAATAAATCTTTGGGAAGTGATTGAGACCCTCCAATCACCAGCCCCACCACCCCCCACACACACGTGACGGGTGGTGATTGGAGGAGAAGGAAAAAAAGAAAAAGAAAAAAGAAAAACTGACCAATCAGAGAGGGAGGGGGTCAAAGGGGGTGCTTCCTTGAGGGGGTCCAACTCATTTTCCTAAATCTTTATGCCCAAGTCGAGCAAAAAATTGAGTTTTATTTTTTTTTATTTTTTTTTATACAATATTGATATTTAAGATTAGAAATTAGGTTTAATTTTCAAATTCAGTGATATAACAATCAATTATGATATTAAAGTTAACAATATTTCTCATATATTTTCTAATTATCAATTAATTATATCACTTACACATCATTAAATTTAAAAAATATATTTAAAATGTAAATTTGTTTATCATTTTTCCTTTTTTTTTATAGGTGCTGTGCTGCCTCAAGGCTGGCCTGAGTCAAGGTGGCCATGAGTCGGGTATCAAAATTTTTTTTTTTATATAAATTATTTTTATTTAACTTTGAAATAAATTTTTAAATAGTTATTTTTTTATACTAGTTTTAAAAAAAGCCAACATTTGAAGAGGAAATTATAGAATGTTTTCGGAGTATTACGTGTCCGTACTCCTTAATCAATCGTCATTTAATATGTCTCTTCATGTTCTGTAATCACTCAACACAATATCCTACCTATCTATTTTTTCCACCAATCACAATACTTTGGCTTCGTTTGGGAAGTGGGTTGGCTTTTTGAATTTTTGATTTTTTTGACTATTTTAACCTGGGGCTAAAAAGACTGATTTAGAAAGGACTTTTGATTTTTTTTGGGTTTTTTAATTTTTTTGTGAGAGAAATAATGTAATGATTATGGGTTGAATGTGATGTTTTGTCTTATTAATCTAAAAAGTCTATTTATTTTTTGTACTCCCTCCGTCCCAAAATAATGGTCCCTTTTAGGGAATCTAACTTTTTTTGATAGTACAATTATTACATTTGAAAAAGTTTATTTTCCAAAATTACCCTTTTGATAGTACATTTTTTGAGAATATCAATGTCATGATTGTACTTTTTATATTGTTTATTAATTTAAAAAAAGGGCAAAATAGGAAATTTACATTATTTTTGTACTTGATTTTTGAAGAGGGACTAATATTTTAGGACAATGAAAAATGGAATAAGGGACTAATATTTTAGGACGGAGGGAGTAACTATTTTAACCAAAAGAGTCCCAAAACTCACTTCCCAAACATAGACTATAAAATACTACAGGCCTGTATTTCAAAATTACCGAATGATTACCCATTTGAAGGCTATCAACACCAATGGCCTTTGAGATGCCTTTTCAAGCCCATGAAGCCTTTGTTTACTGTGCCCCAAATAAGAAAGCCCATGGACAATAAAGGATATAAACCTTTTTATGGGCCGACACTGATCAAAGTGTTTCATTGACGATCATTAATTAATCGGTGGTATTATATACATTAATTAAATTTTATTTAAAATAAATTAAAAAAAATTAAAAGGCCAAAATATTATTAAAAAAGTTAAAAAATTTATACTACTCGAAGGTAACTTGTGTATACAAAAAGTTTATACTATTATTTTGCCTTTTAAATTCAACTACTCAAAAAGTTAAAAAGTTAAAAGTCAAAAAGTCAAAAGGGTAAAATTACCATTTTGATTTTACTATAATATTTTTTTACACATCTTTTTTTTCTCTATTTTTTTAACCAAAAAATCAAAAAGTGCACTTATATAGCACATTTCAAACAACTACTTAATGTACTAGTGTACCAACATTAGTTCTGACATTATTATTGATCTCACTCATTATACAAAGAATAATTAGTTTACTAATTAATGTACTGATTGATGATTTGACATAATTTAAGAGATTTTTTGTATTTGTAATATGATTTATGAGTAAGATCAATAATAATATCATAACTAGTGTTGATACACTAGTTAGTATACTAATTGGTGCATGTAACATTACCGTTATACAAATTATAAATATCAAAAACTTCTTAAATTTGCCACATCATCAATTGGAACATTAATTAATAAACTAACAAGGATATATAGCATTATTTTTAAGCAATTGGAATAATAATTAAAATCCACAGCATAGTTTCCTTCCAGTAATGTCATCATGCCCTTTTTCAAGCAACATTATTTAGGTCAAATTAAATTCGTGTCTTTTAATTTATTACTTGTATTAATTTATGGTTCTTATGGTTCCAATTATATTAATTTTGGTCTCTTTTGGGAAGAATATAAAAAGCCAAAAATTAATTTTTAACCTATTTTAAGTTACATCATTCTCTCTATTTTTTTACACTTTTTTTAAAAAAAAAATCAAAAAATTAACTTTTAACTAACTTTTCAAAACAACTTTGTCTTTTAATTTTTTTATATTGTATCAATTTAATTCAATTAATAATATCTATTTAACAAATATAAAAAAATTAAGAACAAAATGGTGCATTAAAAAAAGGAATGGATCATTTCAAAATCCTTAATTTTAGAATTCAAATTGGAAGGTTCAAGATGTTCCAATACCATGAACAGTCATATGAACATATGACACATGTGATGGTACAAAAAATTGACCCGTCCGTATTGAATACTTGACGTATACAAAACCATACTGAATAAGAATTCAGCCTTTCCAGAACATCACAATATATGTAACGCACACCAAAAAAAAAAATTCTAGAAAAAATCATGAAACATTATTCGTCGGGCACATAGTTGCATATGACTTCGTTGGAATAAGATTTTTTTTCGTCTATTTTAGTTATAAAAAGACAAAATAGATTAAAAAAATTAATAAAACAAAATATCACATCTAAATCATAATTAATATTTTTTTTCTCACAAAAGTTAAAAAAACTAAAAAACTCATTCCAAATAAGACTTTTTAACCCCATACTAGGTCTCGTTTGGAAATAGGCTTTTTTAGTAATTTTTTGACTTTTTTGCTAAAATATGATGCAAAAAAATTAGTATGTTTGGGATGAATTTTTGATTTTTTACAAAAAAATGTGCAAAAAAGTTGAGAAAAAAGTGATATTTGACTTTTTGATTTTTTTAGTGACTAGTGATGTTACCAAACGAGGCTTAATAATCAAAAAATTAAAAAGTCAACCTACATTCTAAACGAAAACATAGTATTGTGAGAAGACTAGATAATTTCTATTGCTTAATAATTTTAATTAATCCAAACAAATGTAATGAATTGTTCAATCTTAATTAACTACTGGAAAGTGATGATGCCCCTTCATTAATTTATACACACAAAATGCTCATGTTCTTGGCATCTATCAACTTGTTGGCCAAGTTAATAGAAACTGACATTTTGCATACAAATTTTTTGATGACTTTTTTTTTATTTTTATAGATGGGTTGATGATGACTTGAAGTGAACAGAAATTAATTGGGCTACTGATGTAAACTCATAGCTTAGGGTCAATAGATCAAACTTTGTTTGTGCATTAAGTTTATCATTTTTTTGTCACAAACACATGGTTGGAAGAATCTACCATTCAAATAATCCAATTTGTTTTTTTTTTATTCAAAAATAACACAATTTGTGAAAACCCCAACCAAGATTGGCCGGGCTAAAAAAAAAAAAAAAACACTTGAAGTATTAGATGGATAGATAAGCATAATCATGAAGAAGAATCATTTGGAAATTTATCCTTGAAATAACCTTCATAAAAATGATAGATTTTGGACTCTTTCGTGGGTCATGTAGATTTTGGGCTCCTTGAAATAACCTTCATGAAACAAACAAATAACATTGTATCAAATAAGTTTTTTATGTTGTATATAAAAAAAAAAAAAAAGAACAAAAAAAAAAAGAACAAAAAAAGAAGTGAATTTTATTTTATGAATGCCCAAACTAAAATAGGGCAATTTTTTTCCCATTTGAACAGTCTAATTGGGCCCTCTTCGTTGTACAAATACAAATCATCTTCTTCTAGTTGGGGGGGTCTTTCGTCAAATATTATTATCCTATTTTGCAAGCCACCTCACTGATAACCTCAAAAGTTCAAATTTCAACCCCCACCCCCCCAACATAGAAGCCTCTAGACCTTTGCTTTCATAATTAAAGACACACCCTTTGTTGCCCCATCTATCCTTGTTCATCTCAATCCTCTCTCTCAACTCCCTCCTCTCTCCTCCTGGCCTTGTCCCCTCTCTCTCTCTCCAAGGGCAAAAGAAAGAACAAAAGTCCACACATAAAATGGGCTCTTTGGTGGGACATGTAGCACCTGGCTTTGGCTTCTTTGTCATTGGATTATGGCACCTCCTTAATCATATCAAGCTCCATGCTGTCAACCCCAACTACACATCCTTGCCATGGTTCCCCACCTCAAAGTTAAGGTACTTAGAGCTCTTCTTGATCATGGGAGGTTGCTCCATGTCCATAGCCATGGAGCTATTCATTGGGCCGGCCGACCACCAACCTTTGGACCAAGATGGCACCATCCCCTCCAACCATCTCCACAACTTTGAACACTCCTCCATATCCATGACCTTCTTTGTTTATGCCTCTTTTGCTATCATCCTTGACCGAATGGGGCCCAAAGCCCAATATGGCCTCACCCAATTGCTCGGTGCCATCGCCTTCGCCCAACAACTCCTCCTCTTCCACCTCCACTCGGCCGACCACACGGGTGTCGAAGGCCAATACCACTTGCTCCTTCAATCTGTCATACTTGTATCCCTCGTCACCACTCTCATGGGTATTGGAAATCCTAAGAGTTTCTTAATTAGCTTTGTTAGGTCTCTTAGCATACTATTCCAAGGTGTTTGGCTCATGTTCATGGGCTTCATGCTTTGGACCCCAGCGTTCATGCCCAAAGGTTGTTACTTGAACTTGGAAGAAGGTCACAAAGTTGTCCGGTGCCACAGTCATGAAGCACTAGAGCGTGCCAAATCACTAGTCAACCTTCAATTTAGCTGGTTCTTGATTCTTGTGACTGTTTGTGCCATGTGCTTGTACTTGTTCTTGATCAAAATTTATGGCCACAAAGTTGAATACAACTCTCTATTGAAGTACGAAGAACGAGATCTTGAGGAAGATGAAGATGAAGATGTTGAGGCTCAGAAGAAAAGCAAACTTGGCGAGTCGAAGAGCTTTGTTCACTTGTGAAAATCCTATGCTACTATGAACATTGAAAGGTAGAAGAAGAAAGGAGAAAGGTTATGAATAAGAATAGATTTGTGAAGAAAAAAACATACCTCATACTTGTACAAAAGTTAAGAGTTAATTATATAATCGGATACAACTCTCTTATATAGGAGAATGTAAATTTCACAAAAATGTGATCTCCTTTATATGAGATGATTATATCTGATAGGTGTGTTAATATACTCTTTTAGAAAAGAGAAGATTAGGTTGGTGGTTTTTTCAGTTTTATTGGTTGTTTATATAAGCCAACATTATGGTTGGCTAGTGAAAGAAATAGTGAGTCAAATAGCTTTGGGGGAAAAGTTGAATAGAAAAATGGGGTGTGATTTGCATTGATGACTTTTAACTTAGGGATGAGTTCATTGTGTTTGTGTGTATAGAAAAAGGGAATCAATTTTTTCTTGATACCACCACTTTGTAATTATATTTTATTCTATACAATAATCCCTGATTTTCGGTTGATTCATTAATGATTTTAAAAGTACTGTTATATTTTGCATCTATGAATTTCGTATCATATATTAATTATAGGCAGTCAAATTCACCACCGTTATTAAAATATATATTATTTATATTATATTCTTAACAAATATTGTTAGTTTTTTTAGTTTTCAAAAGTTAATTATGTAATTTAAAGCGTGCTAATAAGAATCAATAAGTCCTTACAGAATTTTTAATTGCCAACTAATTACTAGACGATTATGTTGAAATTCTTTCACTCTCAATGAATAGGACTTTTACTGGTAGCTTGTTTAGGAAAAACTTACAAATAATCACAAGTACAAAATAGTTCAAAAACTGAATTTCATTAAGTAAATAAAAACTTACAATGAGATAACCCAGTTTCGAAAAGGTTTACAGCAGTGACTACTTGAAATTACTCTTAATTAGAAAATGAAGTGCAATACAGGAATTAAAGAACTGGAAATGTAATGACTGAAAAGAAAAATATGAAGTTAACAACTAATTTCTGGATTTGAGTCTGGGATTCTTTCAGCGATTATGTTGAAATTCTTTCAGTCTCAATGGACAGGATTTTTACTGGCGGCTTGTTTAGGAAAAACTTACAAATGATCACAAGTACAAAATAGTTCAAAACTGAATTTCATTAAGTAAATAGGAACTTATAATGAAATGACCCAGTTTTGAAAAGGTTTACAGTAATGACTACTTGAAACTACTCTTAATTAGGAAATGAAGTGTAGTTCAGGAATTTAAGAACTGGAAATGTAACGACTAGAAAGAAAAATATGAAGTTAACAACTGATTTCTGGATCTGAGTCTGAGGTCTCTCTATTGTTGGCTTTCTCTGCTATTTATACTTTCTAATGGTAACCGTCGAAGTGGACTTCCAACCGTCGAAATGCTCTTCTACGATCATTGGTTATAGTCCTGAACAATTTGCTCTCACTATGCCTTCCTTGTAGTTAGGCTTCCCTCTTGAATTTAAATTTGAATTGTGAGCAACTGCTGAGTCACGTCACCTCGCACCTTTTAACTGCTTCCATGCAACACAGACCCACCATTACCAATATGAACTGCCACATGTCTGTTGCTGATTGAAGATTTGCATTAACTCCTCAAATTACCCTTTACGTGCCACGTGTGAAGCTGTCATTGGCCTATACAAAATATATAACCAACAAATATATATTATTATAATGGGAGTATTTGGGAAGAAGTTTTTTTGGCTTTTAGGGTTAAAATAACACTAGACAAAATATGCTAAAATAACTAATAAGATAAAATGACATATCAAATCCATAATTATTTCACTTTTTCTCTCATAAATATCACATATAATTATAAAAAAAAAAAATCAAACTCTCTTCCTAAATATAATTATTTTAACTTATTAAAATAGTCAAAAACTAAAATAACTTATTAAAATAGTCAAATTTCTAAACGGGGCCAATGGAGTTCATAGTTAGAGGATGTGACTTGTAGATAAAATATTTTATATAACAGATAAGGTTATGTAGCTAAGTTAACATGGTGTATTTTTTTTATTAATTGTCCATCATTTGGTAAAAATGGAACTCACTATAAATGCTGAAACACTACAAGAAATAACACATTTACCGACCAAAAAATTAGTTGCTAAAAGCTAGGGGTGAAAGAATAATCGGAAGGACCGATCGAACCGACCGAACCGACCGAACCGAACGGTTTTCGGTCGGTGTTTTAAGTTTTCAAGTGTTCGGTTCGGTTTGGTTTTTTCTTTCTGCACATTCGGTTTGGTTTTCGGTTTTTGATTTTTTTAACCGAATCGAACCAACTTATATAATATTAATAAGCCCAAAATGTGAGGCCCCAAACATATGTAGGAATTACATGGCCTGAGCCCAAATTTTATGCAAAATGGATTGAAATATAAGCCCAAAATGTGAGGCCCAACTAGGGAAAAAAAAAGGCTAAAAAATCGAAAAATCGAAAAACCGCACCGCACCGTAATAAACCGAACCGCGCCGGTTTATGTCATTTTTCTGGGCGGTTCGGTTTACAAATATAAAAAACGAAATGATCGGTTCGGTGCAAAAATGGTGAAAAAACCGACCGAACCGAACCGATTTCACCCCTACTAAAAGAGCATTTTTAGTCAGCAAAAGTTATCTGCGACCAATTTTTTTAGTCACTACTTTGGTCGCCAATTGAAGGTCGGCAAAAATAATTCGCGACTAAAATTTTTTGTTGGTCAGGAAAAGTTGGATTTGTGGCCTAAATTTTTGGTCACTAAATATATCATTACTGTGACTAATCCATTTTGTCACTAAAACACTTTCGTCGCCAAAAGTGATATTTTTCCGGCCAAATATCTTAGTCGCCAATTGTCACATTCCACGACCAAACAGATTAGTTGCCAAAAAGTAAGGAATTGTTTACCAATGATTTTAGTCGCAAAAGTGTAGAATTTGCCGACCAATTTTTTACTCGCCAAATCTCTTTCTTCTTCTTTTTTTTTTTTTTTGGGAACAATCAATTTTTATTTATAAACATTCAATCCAATATCAAACAAAATTCATTCAACCCAACCACAATTAAGGAACAGTAACATTTTAAAAAGAAAAAGCTTAGGAACAACAATTAACAAATTTCCTTTTTTGTAACTCCACTAAATCATCAAACAATAATTGAATTCCATTTAAAATAAAGATGAAAATATGTAACCGTAGTGCAGCATAGGGCATATTCAAGTCAAATTGAATTTAGTAAACATGTCTTCTCAAAAGCTATATCCTCTTGGAAGTCCAACATGACACAAAACTTTCACCTTTAATGATTTAACAAAGTTAATGTATAAATTGTGCAAAACATAAACACTAATGTTTTGGCATTTAATTTCCCAATTGTCTAGCCATTGGCTTTCTAAAAAAATTGTGCAAAACTGCTGCACAAAGCATTTCTCAAAATTTTGCAAAACTGTCTAGCCAAGGCGATGGATCATAGCATATTGCTGCAAAAAGCATTTCTCAAAACTTTCCTGGTGGATCTTGTTGATCATGCAGAACCGCTGCCCCAAAAGGCCATAATACCACAGATAAGTTCTCTCTTGGCTGCAACGTTCCAACAGCATGATGCAAAGTTCCATCTGCATAAGCCAGATTAAGACCTCAGTAAGTGTCCATACAATTAAAACTTGTTGAAGGTTAACAAAATGATCAGCTAATTATGCAAGATTGTGTCATCTTAATTAGTTCTTCATGTTGCTTATTTCCATGTACATAAACAAAATGTATGGTCATATACAAAGGACAACAAAGAGGATAAAGAAAGAAATAGAAGAGAATGCGAATAATGAGATAGTTATTTTCCTAGTATGCATTTTGTATGTAACAAGAAGAAGCACATTATTTACCTCAAAGCAACTAAACATATTCAAACGCTCCCCAGGTCAATGCATAAATATCACACAATAGTAACTGTTGGAAATGGTTATAAATTCTGGGTAAAACCAGAATTTTTTCCTAAGTTCGGTCTACTTTTTAGGTGGGCCCCGTGCGTCGATTTTCATGGGTCAAAGTGGTAACGTGTTCTATGCTGCGTTGTGATTCACGTGGTCTATTTGGTTGCTCAAAACCATTACCGAGTGAATGGGAAATTGAAGCCAAAGTGTGCTCCATGGAAATGGAGTTTTGGTGAAAATTCCTTAAGGTTGTAAAATGGCTTGTCCCACATTGATTTAGTGGGAGGTTTTGAATGGCTTTATAAGGCTTGAGTTTGGTACTTGGGGTGTGCCCCAAGGGGTACCCAAGTGTTTTAGAGGGAGAGGTTATGGGCAAAATGGGCTAGACCCATTGGACCAAAAAATCACCACACACGCGCGCGCGCGCCGCTGGCCGTCCGTCCGTCCGGTCGGGCTAGTTTGGTTTTACTGTACATCCAAACAGGACTCTTCCCAAAATAAACCAGTCTGGTATTATTGCACACCTAAACAGGGCCCTTCCCGTTTTGTTATCTGTTTGAAATATAACCCAATAGATTCAAATCTGTTTGAATTCAAAACCAACAGGTTTCATACCTGTTCAATTCAAAACCAATAGCCACCTTTACATCTATAAATAGACTAGCCTCCCATTTGGATTTTAGTCTAATTTTCGTACTCCATTCTCTGATATAAATCTCTGAATTTTGCTGCATTTATTTTCTTGAAAGAAAGAGGTAAACACTAGTGTGTTTGTAAAGCAAACAATTTGTAGTGCTGCTATTGTTTGTAGTAGATCATTTCATCTTGGGAGATAGACGTCCAATTTCTGAAAGTACCGTGGAGAGGACGAATCTGTCTTAAGAACACAGTGTTCAACGCTGGACTTGATCATATTATATTCGAAGAAATTAAATCAAGTAAGTTATTTTAATTTTATTTTCAGTGTTTTATTATTTATTTAAACAGATTTTAATTTTGTTTTTGTAACAAAATAAAATCTGTTTTTATTTATTTATTTTTATTTTTATTTCGATGTTGATTTTTGTAATCAAACCAATGTTCTCATTTCCTATTATTTCTTTTTTATTCTGGTTGTTGGTTTAGTAACACAACAGAATTTAATTAATTTAAATACAGTGAAGATTGTCCATACCAATCTTAAGACAGAACCGTTTTTGGAATCTTCATGTATTTAATTTTCTGTAATTTCATAAGGACATATTCTGAGTTGGAAAAAAACAAATAGTGTTTATGCTATTTGACAGATGTAGTAATAACTGTCTCTTTTCTTTAACAA